GATATCAAAATCTCTAAATTACAAAAGCTTCGAAAGGTTCGGTATGGTATTAATGGAAACATTTAGCAAATAGTCCAAAAAAGCAAATTTTCAATCGGAAACTTTACATATAATAAAGGTCAAATATCCACAATATGGTGTTGGCATAAATTAGTTCGTGAAAAGGGTTTAAAAAAGTATCCGACCACCCCATAATTTTATTATATAAAACACTTATAAAGTTGACAAAATGCAAATTTTAAGGCTTTACGTTTTGTTGTCTATGCTTGATCAAATTTTCTCAAATTTTAACCATATATAATTCAAGATATTTTAAGTGGACTTGCTTAATGACGTAATCTATGATTCAACGGAGTTTTGAAGGTTTTTACTAAGCTCAAAGTTTTCATAAAAATCACGGAATTAATAATGCAAACTCGACGAGACTTTAAGTTTATAAAAACATGTTTACTTAATGCATAAGATGTAACATTAAAATGATCATCAGGTGGTCGAATATTTATGATAGGGGAGTGTAGATGCGTAATCGCTAAAACGAGCTTGTGTAATATTAATATTAATACAAGTTTTTTTACACAGATTTTTAGAATAGAAGATAGAATAGAGTCAGTCATGATGGCAGGTTTACTTATAATTAGAAACTATTTTTTTTTACTTTTGTTTGCAAGCTTGATTTTTATATTATTTTTACATTATTATTATCCAATAACAAACTTACCATCGTTTTACCACCCCACTAACCTATCGCCTTTACCTCAAATTGAAGATAAATGGAGAGTATGGCCTCCTGATCTACGTAAGATAATAAATAATAATGACAACACTATTTTATTTTATTAAAGTTTAAATTTTTTTTTTGTAGGTTATGCAATATGTAGACCTAAAATTTATGTATATAAAATACCATCAAATATACAAATAAATGAAGCAAATCAATCAAATTGCAAATTTTCAAATTATAATTCAGAAATTATTTTATATAACGAGCTTACAAATAAATCATCAGACATTTATAACCTTTATGTAACAGAAAATGCAGCGGAAGCCGATGCGTTCTACATGCCATTTTTTGGAAGTTGTTATCTTTTTAATTGCTGGACCAATAATCATTGGAATCAAAATCTAAGATGTAATGTTGATGATAATTACGTTTCACCGTTTATGAATCATATAATCAATGATTATAAATTTTGGAATAAGAGTAGTGGTAGAAATCATTTTTTGATTCATCCAATGGATCATCAAGATGATTATTACGAAAGAAAAGATTTATTTCAGTCGGCAATTTATTTAACGACAATTGGTGATAAAAGAAGCGTAAAGTCGTCAGAGTTTAGAAGAAATAGGAATGTTGTTATACCAAGTGCAACTGCTATATTAAATTCCTTTAAAATCAATCCGTTGGACTTTATTAGTGAAGACGGTAATCCCAATAATCGTAATACACTTGTTATATTTCGTGGATGTTGTTCAGATGTTAAACCAAATGATTATTATTCAGAAGGTGTGAGACATTTGATCTTTAATGGATTAAACAAGTTACCGGGTTGGGATATTGGTGAAGGAGTTAATAACGATGAGTACGCAAAACAACTGGCAGGTTCTAAATATGGTTTGGCGCCATCAGGATGGACGTTAGATACAACAAGGATATGGGAATACCTTGCTTTTGGTGTTGTGCCTATCGTGATCGCTGATGGTATTATTGAGCCATTTGAAGATGATGTGGATTGGGATGAATTTATTGTACGTGTAAGAAGAAAAGATGCGCATAGACTTGATGAAATAATAACTAACATATCTGATTCAGAATATAAACGGAAACAAGAAATTGTATGGAAAATTGGTAAAACTTTAACGTTAGGACCATTTACATGGCATTATATAGCCAGAAGTCTATGTAGAATGTTAGAAATAAATAGAAATGAAGAAATTGATATTCCAGATTATAATTATTATGATTATTAATTTAATTTTTTTTCCTTAGAATAGATTTTCTTTACCTCAAATAATAATAATAATAATAATTTCCAAGTTGAAAAAAAGCCACTATTATTATAATTAAATTTATTAAGAAATTTGTATTTTTATACATTATAATGATTACAGACAATCATAGATTATGATGATAAAATTATTTATAACATTGATACACATAAATCAATTGATTAAAGCAGATCATTTCATTGAATTTATAACTATTTTTGCTTGTGCTAGCTTGGCCACATTTTTGTATTTGAAGTTGGTTGAACAGCGTTCGATGTTTTCTAGATCTACCAGCACGTCATTGGTTGTTCCTCCAGTATCAGGTTTCCTAGTAGTTTGAGCTTTTTTATTTCTCTTGGAGTTTTAATATATATTTACATTTATATTTTGAATCCCAAGAAGGAGTCCTACTCATTGCTATATAGATCTGACCTGGTGCAAGCATATTTTCATCTACTGTCAAAGTCACATGTGGCAATGTTAGGCTTTGGGACTTATGAGCCGTCAAAGCAAAAAGTTCTGCGGTGGTAATTGATACCATGAGGCATGTACACCGTTTAATTTCAAGGTTTTCTGAATGTTTATTTTAGTAATGTTTCCATTTGTTGGAAACGTGATCTCAACATTATTATTGTCTATTCCATTCTAAGCAATTCCTGTATATATATATATACCCTCTCTCCACTTACACTCTTGATAAATACAACTGAGAATATATATGATAAATGACATTTTTGTAAAAAAATAAATTTTTGAATTTTTTAAACGCAAAACAAAAAACAAAGATTTTGTTTAAGAAAGAGTGCGAACCAAATGAAAGATTGATTATATATATATATATATATATATTTCCTGCCAGATGGATCATTTAAACAAAAATCATCCAAAAACTCAATTTTGTCAAAAAAAAGAGAACAATCCATAATTATGATTTGATTTTATTTTCTTATCTGTTTTTTTTTAGAAGGTGATTCACCGCGAGAAGATTCTGATTTACGGTTTTCACTAGGAACCAAACTCTCATGATCGTTTATGATTAGATTAAACTCAGAAAATAAACTTTCGTTATGAAATTCAACTTCATGTTCCTTTGAAATTAAAGAACAACATATAAGTATAGTTTACAAAATTAAAATCATCTATAAAAAAAAAAAAAGAGAAAAAAATCACCAAATCTTCGAGTTTCTGTAGATTATAGTATAAACGAAGCCTTTCCCATAATTCAGGTATAGAACATTTTATAGGACTGTTTGCATTAAATTCTTTAGCGACATTCAACATACGGAAATGTCGATGCTTGCCTATAAATGACCAATGAATCAATATTTTTGGATTTATAAATTCTTGACAATATAAAAAAACAATAATACCAATAGGCCTGTACTTAATCACTGCTCTGAAAAATTCTATTTCCATTTTGTCATTCCAATCTAGTTGAGGGTCTGCTCCTGATGGAGGAACATTAGATTGACCTATATAGAAATCAAAATACAAAATTAGTGAATTAGTGAATTAATAATCAGTCAACCAACTAATTCAATCAATTGCCTACTTTGAGGTGGAGGATGATATTGTTGTTGTTGTCCTCCATAAACTTGTTGGCCATAAACGTTTGATGGAGCTGCGTAACTTTGTCCTTGATTATAATGTGTCATTATTTAAACTGTCGTTCTATGTAATGGTTGTTAACATTAAAGAGCAATAAAAATATTTAGTCTGTGACCAAAAAAAATTTTGCAGAGATGATCAACAAAAAATTTATCTACTAAAAATATTTACATTTATCCAAGAAGGAGTTGGAATGTCCACGCAAAAACAAAAATAATTGTTATCACCAATTAAAATACGCTCTCCCAAATTTAATCGGTGACAACTTGTGCGAGTTGTGTGGATACTTACACCAAAGAAGATATAAAAATCGGAAATCTTAATTGAATCTACGGATTCCTTCAACTTCTTTTTGCATTTATTATTCTTTTTATTACTTTTATTTTATTTTATTTTTTATTATTTTATTACCTTGCGAGGTAGCTTTATTCTTTACTTTATTTTTATTTTTATTTTTATTTGTTTTATTTTATTTTTATTCATACCTTACGAGGTTACCCTTTTTCTCTTTTATTTTATAAAATTTAAATGCAATTGAAAAATAATAATTTTGAAATAATCAAATCAGAAATCTTTGATCGGGTCTACAACAAAATTTTAAAAGGAGAAATAAAAGATCCAGAACTAATTAATTTAATATTCAACTATTTCTACGGAAATTCAGAACTGTTCAAACTACATTATCAACCTTTGGGATCAAAAGTTTCGTATATAAATAAAAAGTGTTGTTCCTGTGGACAAAAAGGACATTTGAAAAGAAATTGCAACTTACAAGGATTAACTGAGGAGGAAGAGATTGAATTTGTTTTCCAAAAGAAACCATCTTGCAACTACTGCAAACAAGAGG